AGGCTGTAACTTTATGTTGTAAAGATGAGCATTTGCTAATTATAGAACTTAATGATTTTATTATGGATCCCAACACCAGATCTTGACCATGTTTATTTGGAAATACGGCTAAAGTAACCTCTTTCTTAAAAAATAATAATTAAAATCGCACAACGTGGTAAAACAATTTATGGCTGAACATTTATAAATAAAAAATATACCGACGAGTTGTGAACCTCCTCTTTTTTGACGTCAGTTAAACACTAAAAAATTACTCCAAATAGAACACTTCTTACTCTTTTTTGCTTTGTCTGCGGATAACATTTTAAAGAAGAATGCGAGAATACGGATATTGTTTAAGGGTGACAAGCGAGCACACAGTCCACCTGCTGGTAAGTGGTTGCTGCGGCCCATAGACATCTACATCTATCATGGAATGCCTCTTTTCCAGTCAAAATGGTCTCCGTTTCTCTACACTCACCATACGAAACACAGCAGCGTGAAACTGCTATTTTACGCTGATATTCTGTGAGAGCGTGGTCCTTCCCCCGTCCAGCCGACCCATTCGTGCTACAACTATACTGTTAATATAGCTGCAGCTTGGCTCTACCACGGAAAAAAGTTAAAAGTTATGTACGAATTATAGCTGTTAACCGTACTATATATAATATAGTATTGTACTACATATTATACTTAAATTAGGTGTACATACTGTAACAAAAATATTTACTACGTAAAAATATTTTGAAACAGATGTAATCATTTAAGGAGTAAGAATAACTATAAAAAATATAAACGACTCTTTTTATTAAAGGTTAAAGCAAGGAAATGCAACATTCAAACTAAACAAAGTTTCCATTGTGTGCCAACCCTGTTGTATTCACACGTGCACCCAGACATGCGCGCACGCACGTACGCTAAACTCTTTGTCTGTTTCAAACAAAGCGCATTCTAAAACATACCATACCCACCATCTTTATTTTCACGGACCAGTTTAACGTAAAGATATAATATTAATAATATGCAGTAAATAGATATAAAAAAATATAATAATATATAATATATATATATACTTAGTTGTTTCTTGTCTTCCTTTGTCGTGTCGTGCGTTAGTTTAAAAATATATTACATTTTCCACAAAAATGTGTTATATGTCTACAGAGAAGTGTTATGTAGTAAAAGATATTATTGATAATAATATATCCACATACGCATTTGTGGAAACTACCTACCACTTTGCGGTTACAACTGCGCAAATGGTTCTTCTACGCCATTTTAAAACGGAAATATCTTCAATTGTAATTTTATCAACGTAGATTGATAGCCGTCTTTATTGTTTATGCGGACTATTATTCTAAAAATAACTTGCATAATTCGCTCTCCTCTCCCTCCCTCTCTCTTTTCTATCGACATCAAAAAGGAGGTACTCAATTCGACTGTATGTTCTTTTTTTATGTGTTACCTCATAACTTTTTTCTGTGTGATCCGATTTCGATGATTATTTTTTTTATTTGAAAGCTGGTGCTTCTCATGTCGTCCCATATAAATTCAGACCAATAATTTTTGAGTTCTTCTTAATAATTTATATTGAAGTCGGAGGCACAAAATGTTTAATTTTTAATTATTCTCTGTAATTCTTGATTGAGAACAGAATTTTTTTAAGTTTCTGATATCCTCGCCAAAAATAAGTTTGCCTTAGTTTTACGTTTACATTTCTCTTTAGCGGATAGAGCCTGACTGCAGTACGAGTATACCTATTATAACTGTCTTACGGTGGATTCGACAAGGAAAAGACTATGCCCTCATAGAATATCCGCGAGAAATATCAGCATGATACTGCAGTTACGTGAAGTAAGTGTGACGAAAACCGGAAATTATTTTTACCGGTAACGGGGCAGTCCATCTCAACACTCAGATTTCAAAACGCGTGTGATTTTGATGCATAATCGAAGGTAAATGTGGATGATGTCTGTGAGCCAAAGCATCCACTAATTATGAACAGACTGATAGTTATCAGAGGGATAATATGATATTATATAAAGCACGACGCTGTCACAATTCTCTTCTAGGTTTGACCACTGCTTTACCTTTTTATTTTTTTATTTTATAGGATAGCGTGACAAACGAGCACACAGTCCACCTGATAGTAAGTGGTTGCTGTGACCCCATAGACATCAACATCTATCCTCGGTTTCGAATAAAATGCAGATGCGTTGTCTGCTGTGAGGACTAAGATGGAATGCCTCTTTTCCAGTAAGAAGGGTCTCCGGTTCTCTACACTCACCAAGCGAAACAAAGCAGCATTAAGCTGCTATTCTGTGAGAGCGTGGTCCTTACCTGTTCGAGCCGACCCATTCGTGCTACAACTATACTACTAATATAGCTGCAGCATGGCTCTACCACGTAAAATACAATTAATCAGAGTTTTTCAAACAGAGGTATATTAAAGAGAGAGGTACCGTTTGACATAATGGGTACCACGGCGGGGGAAGAGTTGCAGAAAGCACATTCTCTGATCATTATTATTATTATTATTAGAGTGAAACTGTAAAAAGTCCACATCTGAGCATCGGCCTCCGCCAAGAAAGCCACATAACAAGGTCCTGCATCCAACGACTTCTCGCATGTCTTACCAGGTCATCACTCCATTTAGATGTGGGTCGTTGTACACACCGCTTGCTGCCATAAAGCTGCCACTCTAAAACCTCCCTTACCCATCTGTTTTTTTTTTATAGAATAGGGTGACAAATGAGCACACAGTCCACCTGATGGTAATTGGTTACTGTGACCTCTTTGCCAGTAAAAAGGTTTTTTTTTATAGGATAAGGGTGACAAACGAGCACACAGTCCACCTGATGGTAAGTGGTTGCTGCGACCCATAGACATCTACATCTATCCTCTATTACAAATCAAAATGTAGATACGTTGTCACCCGTGAGGACTAAGATGGAATGCCTCATTTCCAGTAAAAAGGGCCTCAGGCCACCTGCACTCACCAAGCGAAACGCAGAGGTAAATCTCTACTTCATGCTGGTTTTCTGTGAGGTTGTGGTACCACCCCGGTTAGAGCCGGCCCATCCGTGCGACAGCAAAAGCTGCCGCATGGCTCTACCACTGTTATTCTTCGGTTCTCTACACTCACCACACGAAATACAGCAGCATTAAGCTGCTATTTTACGCTGATATTCTGTGAGAGCGCGGTACTTCCCCGGTCGAGTCGACAAATTCGTGCTACAACTATACTGTTAATATAGCTGCCGCGCATGGCTCTACCACGTTAAAAATATATTTTAAAACTTCTATCATCCTAATTGATCTATATACCAACTATGATTTCCGACTACACTAAAAATAGACGCGGTATCGCTAATAGTACTTACGAAACATCGCTATGGGAATCGTTTCGTATCATGACCTAGATAATCTGCTAATAATACTAATATTAACAAACACTAAACAAACTCAATTAGCATAACGTGAAAAAAAAACAGAATTATTATAAGTACACTAAAACATAATACAATCGAATATGTTTCATTCAATACTGAAAGGTCATTAATAATTCATATTAAAAATCATTATTTTACTCATTTGGAAAAACCTCTGCCCTGGAAAGTACCAGCATAAAAACTAGCGCCACGTTTTTGTCCAAAGTAACACTACAATTGTACTTATAATAAAAAAAAATTGATTATACTTAAACCTCATTGAAACAGCTTGCAAGCAATTACCTCAATCCTAAACGTTATTATCGACCATGTATTTTTAAAAAGGGTTATTATATAAATTATAATAACCCTTTATATATATATATATATATATATATATATATATATATATATATTTATTCTGAGACTTTGTAGAACATAATCACAGATAATAATGCACTCAGTGTACACTGAGAATCAAACGGAATCCGAGTAGACAAAAAGGCATCGCGGTGCACAGCTTTCTCCTGATTTCACAAGATGTCGGCACGGAAGGCTACCTACCGCTCCTGCCGCCTGCCGTCTGACACACTTTCTTGTATTGTTTACTTCGACAACTCTGCCAATTTTGCTTTTCGCTTCGTGTCCTTAATCTTCATTTTTATTTCAACTCTAATTGTAATTTGTGTATGAATTTACAAAAGTAAAAATAAACGTCCCTAATGGCACCTTTTGATTTTTATACGACTTTAGGAAATGGGGAGTTACTCAATGAAGGCTAATAATCTGACGTTCACCAGATGTCGCTAGTTGGGAAGCTACAAGCTAGTTAATGTAAATTTTTGTTACACAGTGATGGTAACACAGTGTCATCATCATAATATCATTATACATCAAACAATACTCACCTCAGTGCTGTATTCTTTGTTTACAAATTTTTAACTTAGAGAGAGAGAGAGAGAGAGAGAGAGAGAGAGAGAGAGTTACACCTGATGGTAAGATGGTTGCTGTGGCCCATAGACTACATCTATTCTCGATTAGGAAGTTGTCACCCCTGAGGACTAAAATGGAATGCCTTATATCCAGTAAAATGTCTCCGGTTCTCTACACACTGAAACAGCAGCATTAAGCTGCTATTTTATATTAGTATTCTGTGATAGCGTGGTCCTTCCCTGGTCGAGCCGACCCATTATTGCAGCCATAATATAGCTGCAGCAAGGTTCTACCACGTCAAAATATTTCTATAATTGTTTTTTCATAATCTAAACTTTACCATTATCGGTGTCAAAGGAGCACGAACGAAATGCATTCTCGAGTCGTAATTAGAGTCAGTCAGAGTCGAGAATAGGAAATGTTCCTTTTTGTACATACAGGGTAGGTATGCAAAACATTAAAACAGTGATATATATATATATATATATATATATATATATATATATATATATATATATATATATATATATATATATATATATGTATATATATATATATATATATATATATATATATATAATTATTATATTATTATAAAAATCTATTTTTAAAATTAAAAAAAAACACAGAAATGCGAAGACTCGTATTGCCTAGAGACTCCTACGTCGATGAAGCATCTGGCCCGGGTATCTGTATTATTATCTTTCTTCTCGGCGAATTCTTCAAAATAGCTTTTAGAGCTTCAACCCTTTTCTTCAATCTCCTATTTTGTTTTTGAAGATTGTTGATTTTTTGTGCCATCCTCTTCTTTATCTCAGCATCGCGTTGAATTTTTTTCTTCAATGCACTTACTATAGGACTTTCGAACACATAGTCCAAATCATCAATATTTACGTTTTCCAACGAATTACTAGGACTTTCTGAGGGTTCAACCTTTATGGAGGTGGTGTCCTGTAATCTTTCTGAGGGTTCAACCTTTATGGAGGTGGTGTCCTGTAATAATAAATCCTCGGGTACATTATGAGGAATATATGTTTTATTTTATAAAACTAATAAATAGTTACAGCATGCAGTGACAGAGGTTATGGTTGTAGCACGAATGGGTCGGCTCGGCCGGAATTGGACCACGCTCTCACAAAACAGCGTAAAATAATGCTATTGTTGTTTCCTATGGTGAGTGTAGACGACCGGCGACCCTTTTTAATGGAAACGAGGCATTCCATCTTAGTCCTCAGGGGTGATATGCATCTGTATTTTAACTCTTAATCGAGTATGGATACATGTATATGTCCATGGGCCACAGCAACCACTTACCCTCAAGTGGACTGTGTGCTTGTTTCTTATCCTTATTGCATAAAAAAAAACAACAACGGCCTAGCCGCTTAGTGGTGACTTAAGATAATCTCCTACTCGATATCATCGTTTCCCAACCCATGCTTAGGGTACACTTAAGCAAGTCAGGCCTGTCGCTACTTTTAAGCTGCTTGCTTATATATAAGACCCCGTGAGTTTCGTAAGAGGCAACAAAAGATATGGGCAGCAGTATTTCTCAACTCAAAAATAATAAAAAACAACGTTGTGTTCCCAACCCGCAAGCCAAATGTGGCAAATAGGCGCAATTTAATCGTGGTAGAGCCACGCTGCAGCTATATTATGGTTGTAGTACGAATGAGTCGGCTCGACCAGGGTAGGGCCGCGCTCTCACAGAATACCAAATTAAAATAGCAGCTTAATGTGTTTTGAACGATGAGTGTAGAGAACCGGAGAGACTTTTTGGAAACGAGGCATTCCATCTTAGTCCTCTACGCGAGGCATCCTCAGGTGTAGTAGATTCTGGGTAAAGCAGCTCGTTTTGGCTCGCTATGTTGGCTCGTATATTTCTCGCTTCGGACCTCACGTAAGCCAATGATATATTTTTAATAAATACGTTATATCCCAACAAAAGCACGGAAAAAATATTCCGAACCCAGCCGTCCCAGCGGCAGCCGGCAGCACACATACTCATTATATTTACAATTCTCTAGTCCATATAAAAAAAATTACCAAAGTTTTCAAACAAAACATTTATAGATTAAAAAAATAATATTTTAATAATTACAATTTTTATTTTTATTTTCCTTGACTAATACTTTAATCCTCTTAATATTATAAATAAGAAAATTAGTATGTTTGTATGTTAAGATGTTTGTTACACAATCACGCCACAACGAGGCCTCTATATATAATAGAGTAGCATGGCCCCACCACGACGTCGTCGCAATGTAGCACACCAACATATTGTTAAGATTTTTTTTAAATTTAAATAAATTATTATATTATTACTTGACATTGCCAGGCCTCTGTCACTCTTGCTACCAGTGTGATATAAATACGTACAATCGCGCGGGACCTCAGTTTACATACGCAGTCAGGGCTGGCGCGTTTTAGGATGTGAAGAATAATGAACTCAAAGATGTTTTATAGGTGAACTTAAGTACTAGAACAGCTATTTCAAACTAAAACTGTGCGCTACTCTATGTCGCACGGTAAACAGTGGAGTTTTTGCGGGAACTTGACCGGCGCGGCGGTGGATTGCTGCTCCTGTATTAATGTTTAAATAATGGTTTGAATATAGTCATATAGTCCTTATGGCAGAATCGCTGGAGGACCTAAGCACTATGCTCAATGACCTCAATAGTGTTTCCCAACGGATAGGTCTTAAGATGAACATGGACAAAACAAAGATCATGTTTAATGTCCATGTCACACCTATGTCGGTAGTTGTTGGGAACACTAAGCTCGAAGTTGTTGACGAGTATGTTTACCTGGGACAAATAGTCCGACTAGGTAAGTCCAACTTCGACCGAGAGGTCAATCGACGGATTCAACTCGGTTGGGCAGCGTTCGGGAAATTACGGCACATCTTCTCGTCAGGTATACCTCAAAACTTGAAAACGAGACTGTACACCCAGTGCGTGTTGCCAGTGATGACATACGGAACTGAAACGTGGTCCTTCACTGCTGGCCGGATGAGAAAGCTCAAGGTCGCTCAGCGAGCTATGGAGAGGGCTATGCTCGGAGTTTCTCTGCGTGATAAACTCAGAAATGAGGATATCCGCAGTAGAACTAGAGTGACCGACATAGCCCAACGGATTAGTAAGCTGAAGTGGCAATGGGCCGGCCATATAGCTCGAAGAACCGACAACCGATGGGGAAGAAAGGTTCTCGAGTGGCAGCCTCGTACCGGCAGGCGAAGTGTAGGGCGTCCCCCCACTAGATGGAGTGACGACCTGGTAAGATATGCAGGAAGTCGATGGATGCAGGTGGCTCAGGACCGTGCTTTGTGGCATTCTTTGGGGGAGGCCTATGTTCAGCAGTGGACTTGTGAAGGGCTGTAATGATGATGATAATGATGAATGGTTTGAAATGGATTTTGATATGAAAAAGTAGTGCGATTTTGTGTATTAAATGTCTGCACATGTAAACAATTAGTGGAAACGGTGAAACAAGTGTTCCGATGATGATGATGTGAATCTCAAGATAAGGCTCAAGTTGCCGTCAAAATCTTCCAAAAACTACGCAGTGTGATGCATCAGCATATTGTTAATCAGTGTAATATAAAGGATTATTATCACTTGATACTGAGATAAAGGAGGACATGGCAAAGACATGGAAAAAATCTTAATAAAAAAAGCGGTAAACGGTCGTGCCGCGCATGCGCGGTGTTTTTGTCATCATTAATTATGCGAAGGTAATCGATCACTAATAAAAAACTAGATACACAATCCCATGCAAAAGTTCTCTAAAAACTGTCGCCAATTGTTTTGACGTAATTCTAGTTGAAATAAATATACATTAATGTAAATTCAACCTTAACCCGACGTCATGGGGGTGAAAAAGTGTTACACGGATGTTGGAGTGGATCATACAGACCCGCTTATTAGATATGAATTATACCAGTACTTTATTAAAAAAATATATTCGGGTTTAGTTGTTAGGTATTCATGTAAATAATTAAAAAATATCATATAATATTATGTTTTAATTATATCAATAAATCATTTAACAAGAAACGAAAAGAGATTAACAAATCTTTCTCTTCTAGTTAAATGTAACTCTATTATTAATTAAAAATCAGCATTAATGTTTTAAAGGCACATTCTTGTAGGAAACTAAAATATATTTAGAAAATCATTGGTACAGTCAGCACAGAAAGGTACAATATGCTTTAAACAAATATGTTTGTTGCAACTCTCGCAAGTGTAATTTGTTTAACGGTCTCTCTTGGCTCGACACATCTGGCATCTTTTGCGAACATCAGCTTTCTTTGCCTGAGGTTCCCCAGAAGACTCGCCAACAAATTGTCTAATCTTTTTACGCAACTCGCGTGGTAGACGTGAGACATTTTGGAGAAGTTTCAGGTGTTAGATGACAAGACCGAGGGTTAGGTTTTTATAAATCGTCTCCGTTTTGTACTTGAATTATTAGTAATTCTTTTTACTATCAGGCCATTAATGATGGTAATGTTCAATGAAGTATAAAAAACTGTCATGGCCACCTCTTAGAATCATGTATGAAGATATATAGAACGGTCCCCCAACTGTAGCGAACGATTTCTATTCGAACAGCATAGACAGCGGAATATCATCACCATCAGAGTCTGACAATTCCTGCTCTGTGTCATTGGGTAAAAAACGCTCACTCAAGTGATCTTCTTCATCACACTCCTGATCTGAAAGCGTAATATCCGAATCAGACTCTTGTAGAATTGACAATATACGCTGTCGCTCTACCTCTTCTCGATCCATTTTTAACTACCTACAAAAACACACATAAAATATATAATATTATATGTATATTGTCTATTAAATCATAAAAAAACAATATATTAAAAGCATAAATACATTGTAAAGAATTGAAATCATATATCTCACTTACCTTTTTTTACTTTGTGCTCGTTTGACTCTCTGTGCGGTCACCGCTTGACTAAACTAATGTGTTACCTGCAACACTTATAACGACTCAAAAGCTCCAGCTACTGAGAAGAACCGGAATGTAGCACGCATAGTAACCGAACTTCAAGCATAATAAAATGTGTCAGGTCTCACAGACCCAACCCCATTGCGCCGGGTTAAATGTATTGCCTAAAGTTGTATTCACAAAGCTACGTACAAAAAACAATAAATTTTTATGACCGATACTCGCTAGTCAATGGCAAGGACCTATATCAAAACAAATTCAAGAGTGAGTTAAACTTTTTTTTAAAAATAGGTGTACTTAATAAAGAATATTCTATTCTACAACTACTTACTTGTGGTTGCAAGCAACACTGTTCAATCGCTTTTTTATCAAAAGAAGACTTGTGTTCTACATCATGATCATTTGCTTCCTATAAACAAAACACATTAATAATAATTCATGTGCGTAAATAACTGAACCCAATATATTAAAATTTCACATACTATTCGAGGTACAGCTGTTTTATGTAGCCTTTTCATGCCTTTCGTCGTCACATATTCATCACTATCTAAAAAATGCTTCGAACATACAACGCTTCTTTGGGTCGGCATAAAAAATTCTTCGGATCTTTGACGTGCTATAACTGATATCCATTCTGCACACCTCACTGGATTTCGAGGAAAGCTAAAAAAAAAAAACAAAATAAAATCTCACATCTTTAATTTTATTACATGCACATATTCAAAAATGTTACTATAATATTTCGAGAAACAGTAAAGAACTCTTTTAAACAAAAAAAAAAACAATCATACTTTAATAATAAAAAAAATAAAAAAACGATAGCGTCTTCAACTGATCAGAATCAACACACATAACTCGAACAAATACGACTTATTTTACTACGACTCAATTTAAAAAATGTTTTACGTTGATTTCTTGTCAAAATATCAGTATTTACAATACAATGATAACAATTAAATAATAATAATATTAATACTTACCGAAAATATGAAATTCCATCCTTTTTTAGCGTCCTGGATGTGTGATTTTTACAATTTTTAAACGAGCACTGCGGCATGTTTACCGTCGGAGCATTCGAATGCTACTAAATTTAAAACGCACCCAAATGTTCGAGTGGGCCTCATTCGGTAAGGACATTTTTTGTCACCGATTGTGTTATTGATTATTGTGTATCTAGTTTTGTTAGCGATCGATGGTCATACTGTAGAATGATCAGTATGTAGGTAATTATTGTTTATTTGAAGTATACATATTGTTAATTAATTTATTAAAACGAATAAAAACTACTTTTACGGATTTTATCGCGTTTAATTAAGTGATTTTATATTCCCGACGTTTCGGTTGCTTTCCAGCAACCGTGGTCACGGGGGACCACGTGGTCACGGGACAGTCCCCGTCCGGGACGGAAGAGTCGGTGTATATTACAAATATTGTACTTTCTTTTTGTTTTTCTCAAAAAACTTGTGTAGGTCGACGACTTCTTCTTTTTTTTTTATACGTTACGTACGTCCACGATACAGAAGAAAATCCTAGTGTGGGGGTAACACTAGGATTTTCTCCTGTATCGTGGAGGCAGTTTACAAACACAAATTGCACAAGGACAAACATCCAGACTCGGAACAATTATTTGTAGGCCATACAAATACTCGTTCCGTGCGGGATTCGAACCCGCGGCCCGCAGCGCAACAACTGATTGCTAAGCCACTGCGCCACGGAGCCGTCATACTACACTTTACTTCAGCTTTAGCCATCATACTACTCCCGGCTATTCCATCCAGAGAAAATTTCTTCCAAGGATTTCATAATACTCGTTAAATATTCACATTTCTTCTTTAAATTTCTATTTTGCCGCTAATTTTTTTCTTTTTTTGCGTAATTTTTTCTTAACTATAGTGTCGTTTTGCAGTTCTCGATAATTTCAAGATAATTTTCCTAGGAATATCTAAAATCAATTTTGAGTCGCTCACTGGTATAGATATCGGGTCCATTGCTTCTGCATTAATTGATTCCATTGATTCATTAACTAGTGTCCGACCGAAACAGGATTTTCAACCAAAAACGAACCTTTGGTCTGGGTGTCAGTTTCGGCCGAAACCGAAACCGAAACCGAACTTTATTTAGACGTGTTCATCTTTTTTATTGTATACTGGAATCTGGTACTTATACATCTGGTTTTTATACATATACAGATAGGTAATGCATATTAAACAAAAACAGTAACTGTAATAGTCATGCAGCAATATATTTATTTATTTTCAAGTAAAAATCAACAATTTAAAATTAAGATTTTTTTAAGTCAATTTTGTAAAAGAAATCAACACTTACACCCATAAAAAGTTGCTCGCTAATTGAGAACATATTTTATTGTATTCACAATATTGTTAATATTATTCAATGAGAGCATTAACTTAATATGTCACAGTCACACACAATATACATTCACATACCTTAAAATCCCAGAAAATATACAAAACCTGCTCAAAGTTCAAAATTTTAATAAACTAAGTTTGTATAAAAAGGATTATTATAATACTAAGGAATTTATGGATAATAATAACCCCACTATGGTGATCACAACCAAGCTATTTCTAATTTCTTTTTTGTTGTTAATTGTGTTACATACATGATTGTAAGAGTGGCGTAGCTACGTGTGGGCGAAGTGGGCCCTCGCCCACAGCCTCGCACTTAAAGGGGCCTCGCGAGACCCCCTAAAATGCGATGCCCCCAGACTTTACCACAGATGAATAATTAATTTGATCACTTTTACCCTTGAAAAAGTGAAAGTGTGTTTGTTTGGGGCCTCGCAAGAAGCCCCCCTTAAATGCGACTGCGAGGCCTTTGAAACTACCTTTAAAGACCGTGATTGTTACATTGACGGAATACGAGGCTTGTCAGGAATTAATAGATATGAGTGGGTACGAGGGTAACAGTAAAAGTTCTTAAAAAATCAAAATCTGAACAAACTAGCAAGTTATTACTCTTATTATATCTTTTCAAAATAGTGTCCATATACATCTTTTTTGCCGTGTAGTGGCGGTCAAGAATATCCACTACCCCATATCCTCCCGTGTGTGTCGTAAAAGGCGACAAAGGGAAGCAGGCAGGAGATGGGCAGCAGCATCTTCCTGATAATAGCCAAAATTACAATAAAAAAACTGCGGTTGCCAACCCGCTCGCCAAGCGTGGTAACTATGGCAAATACCCCCCAATGATCAAAGCAACAAACAGACGGCCCCCAGTCCCCGGCGGCCCCGCTATTCCTGGCTACGGTGGCGACCATGATAACGGCGGGACAGGGGGTGCTAAGAATCTCCGGTGGAGGTTCGGTTGCCACCTTAGACGACTCGACCTGGCAACGTACAACGCACGCACCCTGAGGACTGGCGAGAAGATCGTGGAGCTGGAAGAAGAGATAGGCAAGTTGCGCTGGCATATTATAGGATTATCCGACGTCCGAAGAGAGGGGGAGTACACGGTAATCCTCGAATCCGGCAACTTGCTCTATCACCGGGAGGGCGACCATCTGTCCCAAGGAGGTGTCGGATTTATCGTCCACAAGTCTCTCGTTAACAACGTTGTAAAGATCGGGAGTGTGTCGACGAGGGTTGCGTACCTTATACTCAGAATCACCGAACGGTATTCGCTGAAGGTCATACAGGTTTACGCACCAACCTCGGCACACCCCGATGAGGAGGTGGAGGGAATGTATGAGGATATCTCTAGAGCCATGCATTCCTCCAAAAGTTACTATACGGTGTTAATGGGAGACTTCAATGCAAAACGAGGCACAAGAGAGAACGGTGAGCTGAAAGTAGGGAAATTTGGAATAGGGCAACGGAACCCAAGGGGCCAGCAGCTGGCCAACTTCATGGAGAAAGAGGGACTCTTTATGATGAACTCTTTCTTCCAGAAGCGGCCCCACAGGAAGTGGACCTGGTCGAGCCCCGACGGGTCGACAAAAAATGAGATTGACTTCATTATGACGACCAGACGACAACTGTTCAGTGATGTCTCCGTGATCGCGAGGGTGAAAACTGGTAGCGATCACCGAATGGTTAGAGGCACACATGAAGTCAACGCTCCGTCCCCCTCGTGCTCTGTTCCAAAGTCCCGAAACCTTTCAGCTCGAGTTACAAAACCGTTTTCAGTGCCTAGAAGACTGCAATGAAGTGGACGATATGAATGACAAGCTCGTGGAAACTGTCCATGCGGTCGGAGCTAAGTACTGCAAGACCCGCCGCAGAAGAACACAAAAACTCTCCGATCACACTCTTAATCTCATGGCTGTTAGACGGGAGATGAAGCTACATTCTTCAACAGATTTGACAGCGTACAGGCAACTGAACAGACAGATCTCCAAATGCATGCGGCGGGACTTACACAACTTCAATACAGCTTGTATTGAAGAAGCGATCAAGCGGAACCAAGGCTCCAAAGTCTTTGCCAGAGATCTGTCTGCCAGAAAGAGCCAACTGTCAAAGCTGAAGATAGAATGTGGCAGCATCGTTTCCGGGACGCCTGAGATTTTGAGTGAGATTGAGAGGTTCTATGGGCAGCTGTACACGTCATCGCTGGAGCGACACGCAAGTGTGAGTGACGATCCAAGAGCGAGTCTCATCAGACACTATTCCGAAGATATCCCGGACGTCAGTCTGAGGGAGATTAGAATGGCTCTCCAGAACCTTAAAAACGGTAAGGCCCTAGGCGAGGATGGAATTACAGCGGAGCTTCTGAAAGCGGGTGGAAGACCGGTACTTGAAGTCCTTCAGAAGCTCTTTAATTCCGTCCTCCATGGTGGCATTACACCGGAGGCGTGGAGCAGAAGTGCGGTGGTCTTGTTCTTCAAGAAAGGTGACAACGCTCTCTTGAAGAACTACAGACCGATTTCCCTTCTGAGCCGCGTCTACGTGCTGTTTTCGAGAGTCATTACGAATCGTCTCGCGCGCATACTTGACGACTTCCAGCCTCCCGAACAAGCCGGTTTCCGAAAGGGCTTTAGCACCATGGACCACATACATACCCTTCGGCAAATTGTACAGAAGTCCGAAGAGTACAATTTGCCACTATGTCTGGTGTATGTGGACTATGAGAAAGCCTTTGATTCCGTCGAAATTTGGGCGGTGCTGCAGTCCCTTCAGCGGTGCCAAGTTGACTGTCGGTATATCGAAGTGTTGAAGTGTTTGTACAGTAGAGCTACGATGGCTCTCCGAGTACAGAACCAGAGTACGAAACCTATCCAATTGCAGAGAGGTGTAAGACAGGGTAACATCATATCCCCGAAACTCTTTACCGCTGCATTGAAAGATGTTTTCAAGCTTCTGGACTGGAAAGGATACGGTATCAACATCAATGGCGAATACATCACTCACCTTCGATTTGCGGACGATATAGTCCTTATGGCAGAATCGCTGGAGTACCTAAGCACTATTCTCAATGACCTCAATAGTGTTTCCCAACTTCCCAACGGATAGGTCTTAAGATGAACATGGACAAAACAAAGATCATGTTTAATGTCCATGTAACACCTATGCCGGTAGTTGTTGGGAACACTAAGCTCGAAGTTGTTGACGAGTATGTTTACCTGGGACAAATAGTCCGACTAGGTAAGTCCAACTTCGACCGAGAGGTCAATCGATGGATTCAACTCGGCTAGGCAGCGTTCGGGAAGCTACGACACATTTTCTCGTCAGGCATACCTCAAAACCTTAAAACGAAATTGTACAACCAGCGCTTGTTGCCAGTGATGACTTACGGAACTGAGACGTGGTCCTTCACAGCTGGCCGTATGAGGAAGCTCAAGGTCGCTCAGCGAGCTATGGCTCTGCTCGGAGTTTCTCTGCGTGATAAACTTAGAAATGAGGATATCCGCAGTAGAAGTAGAGTAACCGACATAGCCCAACGGATTAGTAAGCTGAAGTGGCAGTGGGCCGGCCATATAGCTCGAAGAACCGACAATCTATGGGGAAGAAAAGTTCTCGAGTGGCAGCCTCGTACCGGTAGGCGAAGTGTAGGGCGACCCCCCACGAGATGGAGTGACGACCTGGTAAGACATGCAGG